AGACCATCACTAAAAAAGATCTTTGATCTGTTAGAATGGGATATGAAAGATGAAGGATGGGTGAGACCGAAAACTGGTTCATTAGAAAAATGGTCAAAAAGTATTCTTCTGTTAAATTCGATTCTTACAGTTGAGAAAGGAAAACCTGGGTCTCACAAAGAACTAGGATGGCAGCGGTTTACTGATAATGTTCTGAAACTGGTTGGAAATAAGCCAGAAATTGTGACCATCTTATGGGGAAAATATGCAAAGGAGAAAGCGAACATTGTTAGAAGAGGTCATGTGATCAAAAGTGGCCATCCATCACCATTGAACAGGGAACGATCATTTGATAACTCAAGATGTTTCTCATTAGCCAATGAATATCTTAGAAAGATAAATAAACCAGAAATCGATTGGAGCTTATGATAATTCCAAGCAAGTTTATTACCGTATTTGAATTTATGTAATACATGTATTTTTGTAATACTTGAAAAGTTTAATAAATAATCTATCTCAAGTTTATTGAGATTGAGTAAAAGATAAATCAAAATGAATGAAAAATCACAAGATTTTATGTTTACCGCACAATCGTGTCTATATTGTCATTTTAATCTAACATGTGATAATCAAAGAAAGGATTTCGATACACAAAACTGTCTCTGTGAGCATATGCATAAGAGGTGTCAGGAAGATATTTGTGATACATGCTGCGATTATGCTCGATGTCTCATAATTCAATATCCAACATGTGAGAATGAAAGAAGACCACGAGAAATGAAAGTTTGCGATTGTGAAGAAAATCATGACAGGTGTCAAGAAGATGCATGTGTTGCATGTTGTAATTTTTATAACAAGATCGTTTCGTGTAGAAATTGTTATCTTCAAGGACGGAAGTGTGAATGGTCAAGAATCATGTGTAGATCAGATTTTGAGAAACAGAAGAATATTGTGAAATATTTGCAATTTTACTCAGCTGGGTTTGAGAGAGGTGGCTTGACAGGAAAATTGCATTTGCAAGGGTATATCCAGTTTGATACAAGAGTCAGAGGAAGTTACGTTAAATCACATTTTGGCCAGAATTTACATATCGATATTCCTAAATTTAACCCGCCACTTAAGTTAAACTCAAAAAGGAAACAGAAATCTGGTGCAGAATGTAGATTTGAATATTCGGTTAAACGATACGATAGATGCATGACACATATAAGGTGTTCTTGCAGTTATATCGATCTGAACGATGTTTGCGATGATTGTCTTCCCACCAAAGAAGAATGTATTCGAAATAGAAGATCATTGGATATAACCGATATGAATGGGGTAGTACTTGAAAAATATATTTTTGGAGAATTGAATACTAAAATAGGTACACGAAAATCATCACGGAAAAGACAGCGAGAAAATGACGAAGAATCAATGATCTCGGAAAATAGTGATAGAGATGGTTACAAAAATCCAACACATAAAAGATCTCGTAACAACAATACACAAGATAATGAAAAAGTAGAAAAGTACGTGACAATGTTGAATTTGTTGGGAAAAGGTGAAAATGCATACACTATCCTAAAAAAGAATCCAAGCTTGTTCATGAGAGCTTCCCAGCTAAAGGCGTTAGAACCGGGTGCTCAACATGAAAATCTGAAATCGAAGATCGTTGTCACAAGCTCACGTTGGAAGCCACATGATTTTTTGATTCCAAAAATTGTCAATGATTGGATAGAGGAGAATGTTTTGAGCAATCAAAATACAGATCAAAAAAAGCACGTGCTTGTGTTAAAGAATGGTACCGGAAAATGGAGTCTTGTCGAATCGTTAACAAATTATGGGATCAGGATCGCGCATTTTCGTAACGAGTTCCAACCGAGCATCTATGATTCGAAGAATTGTGATCTCTTGTGTTTGGATAACATACATGATTTTACGATCGAGAGCAAAGCTAACGGGAGAGTATTCAATCATCGAAAGTACGCACAATTACTGCTTGGAAAAGATCGGATCCTCATAAACCAAAAAAATATAATCGAGAGATCTGTTCCAATCGTGATTCTATGTACTGATAACACGTGTCCTTTCACGTACAATTGCAGCACAGAAGATGAGAATTTCTTGAAAAGATTTTTTAGCAATACCATGGTCATCGATCTCATAAACTTGGACAT